CTGAGCACCCAGTGCCCAGAGCAAGGCCTGGCACATAGTAGCTGCTCGAGATCACTTGGTGAATGACCACATCAGTGAATCAATGAGTGAAAAAATGAACTCATGAATACAAATGAAAGGAATCAAAGACAAACTTAGTCATTCTTCCCAGGGCAGGCTTCTCCAAGCAGAACCTCCCCCAACTAACCAGCTAACTTCCTCCCTCCCACCTTTTCACAGATCATTTACTGAGCACCTACTATGAAACCCAACAGCCCCCTGCAAGGGCGGCAGCTATCGTGACTCTATTTTTGCAGATGAGGAAACTGAGGCTCAGAGAGGCCATGACACCTGCCCAAGCTCATTCGGTCTCAGAGCCAGAATCTGAGCAGGTGATTTTTCTGACACCCCTGCCTTGTTGATCTGTCTGTTCAATCACTCATCCCTTTTTTCCTTCCTTCCTTCCTTCCTTCCTTCCTTCCTTCCTTCCTTCCTTCCTTCCTTCCTTCCTCCCTCCCTCCCTCCCTCCCTCCCTCCCTCCCTCCCTTCCTCTCCTCTGTCCACGTATTTCCAAGCCTCTTCTTCTGTGCCAAGGGAAGACAGGTGTGAACTAGGTCAGTTGGCCCCTTGCCCACTGGGGTCTCCTCTGAGTCCATGGGGCCCATTTGGGGTGTAACGTTGAAAGTGCCCCCTCCGTCACACACACACACACACACACACACACACGCACACACGCACACACGCACACGAAAAGCTGTCCCAGAAGGTGGTCAGCCCTCCTGGTCAGCTGGGTGTAACCCAGACCACTCCACCCTCAGGAAAAACAGGCTCCTGGGAAGACTAAGCAGCCTTTTGTGGGGGGCTGGCAGGCAGGCGGCAGGCAGGGCAGCCGTTACTCACCACCAGAGAACAGAGTCGTCCTATTTGGTCAGTGGCCCGCCTGTCATCCCCCTGCCCCTCCTGCCTGCCCCGCCTCCTTCTGTGGCCTTTCCTGTCCCCTGATCTCATCTGGGGCAGACTGGGGAGCATTTATGGAGGGCCTTCTATGCCCCTGGCATGGTCTGTGGCCCCTCACTGATGAGGAAACCTGCTCAGAGGGGTGTGGTGACCGTCTTGGGGTCACCCCAAGGAGAAGCTGATGATCATCAAGAAGAGGCTCAGAGGCAGAAAGGAAGTCGGAGCCACAATGAAAATAAGGGCTTGGCCTCCCTTCCTTGATCCTACCAGTCAGGGTGCCGACTCATGAAATCCAAGGTAGGGGGTACCCAGGCTGGGGCAGGAGCGGCAGCTGGAATACCCGGAATAACCCTCACACTGGCAAAGCTCCGACTTCCAGCAAAACCCCGGTGGCAGCCCCAGAAACAGAGAAGTTAAGCCCCTTCCTGAGGTCACACAGCAGTGGGTGGCAGAGCGGAGATGTGAACCTAGGTGGGTCAGACTCCGTGAGGGGGGAGTCCACGGTGGCTTTCCAGGTAGGAAGCTAAGCCAGTCACCGGGCTTTTCAGGGACCCAAGGGGACTAGAGTCAGTTGGATCTGGCTTCTAGACCAACTCTGCCATGAGCCAACAGGGCATCTCTGGGCAAACTGCTTCTCTCTGAATCTGTTTTCTCAGCTATAACATGGGTGTCAGCCTTCCTGCCCCTGCCCACCTCCAGTGGAGACGAGGCTATGACACCATCACAGTGAACACTGGGTAATAGACGTTGGTTATAAATTAAACAGTCAATACTGCACTGAAAACAGTCCACAACCACCCCATGAAGCAGGCACTGCCATCATCCCCATTTTACAGATGAGGAAACTGAGGTCTCAGGAGAGAGGGAATTTACTGGGAGCTGGGAGCTGAACCGGGTAGCCAGGCTCCAGCCCTAGTTTTGAAGCATCAAATCAGGAAAGTAGGAAATGTTGACGCCCCATGGCACTTAGTTGACGCCCGTAAATATTTCGTGGCTGAAAAGGCATCGTCCTTTGTCCAAATACAAGTCTAACTTTGCCCCTGCCATCTTCCGCCCACCTGCTTGGCACAGAGGGGCTTTCAGGGGGCACCCTAGGGATGAGCTGGAGGAAAACTCACCCTGGAACAGGTCAAGGGACACGATGAGAAAGAAGATGGTGTTTTGAAGCCCCATCTGTGTGCCTTGACTTTCCTTGCAAAATGGGAACTGCGAGCCCATTTGACAGATGAGAGAACTGAGGCTGAGAGAGACCAGGTGACTTGTCTGAGCTCCCCTGGTGAGGGTGGAGCAGGCCTAGGGGTTAAGCCCAGGTCTGTCTGAGCAGTTCAGGTTCGTATCTCTATACTATAGAACATCTTCCCAATGTCTGGGGACCCAGATAAACAGGGACAGGCCACCTTGAAAGTAAAGGTCATGGCCCTGGCTGATTTGGCTCAGCGATCAGAGCATCAGCCCATGGACCAAAGAGTCACGGGTTCAATTCCAGTCAAGGGCACGTACTTCGGTTGCAGTTCGGTCCCCAGCCCTGGTCAGGGTCATGCAGGAGGCAACCAGTCGATGTGTCTCTCTCATGCTGATGTTTCTCTCTCTCTCTTTCTCCCTCCCTCCCTCTCACTCTATCTGAAGATAAATGGGAAAATATCCTCAGGTGAGGATTGTTTAAAAAAGAAAGAAAGTAAAGGGCATGGGTTTCGAAATTAGACAAATGGAGTTTGCTCCAATCCCAGCTCTGCCACTTCCCAGCTAAGAGATCCTGGGCAAGCAACTTCACCGCTCAGACCTCAGTTCCTCCCTCTCAAAAATGGGTACAATCCTTGTTTTGTATCCAAATGTGATAAGGGTATCCGGCTCAGTGCTTGGCACACAGTAAGCGCTCAAAAAATGCTACCTATCATCGTCATGACCACTAACACAACCCAGGCGTGGCGAAAGCCAGACAGAATCTTATACCCAGAGTTCAGAGTGCCAACTGTGGGGCCCGGGATCAGAGGTATCTCAAGAGATCTGAATTAATCTTTAACAGGTGAATTCCTCTCCAAATTAGCGATGCAGAGCATTCCAGAGGCCTGGCTGGCATGAAATGTTCTCTGGGCTCCCCAGATCCTAAGTGTGACAAGGCGCAGAGCTGTTCCCTGGATCCCTAGGGTGTGGGGAGGAACCTAGAGTATCTTTCCCCGAGTCAAATGGGGGAAACTGAGGCAGGCAGCAGATCAGGGTCCTGTGAGGGGTAAAGATGCCCATTTCATGTAGACCCTCTTCCAGGAACAAAGGACTCCCGTCTCTCAAAATGATGTGTTCAGTCACTCAGCTGGGCCATAGGGGTTTACTGAGCACCTACTATGTGCCAGGCACAAAAAGCCAACCTTATGTGTTTCTCTTTCCTACATCTCCTTCCAGTGGCCCCTCTCCAGTTCCCACCTGGGACCTCACATCTCTTACCTGGACAACTTCCCCAGAAGGGGAACTGGCCTCCCTGCCCGGCCCCTACTCTGTAACCAGAGAGATCTTTCCAGACCACACTGGCATGTCCCTCCCAGGCTGGACTTTCAAGGCTTCTGGGTCTGACCTAGCCCCTGCCCATCTGAACCCTCCCCCCTCCGGTTCACGTCACACACTCCAGACAAACCGGAGTGACTTCTTGGCTCTACAAGCCCAAGATTTACTCACCTTACTCCATTTCGACATGACCCACCTGATTTTACAAACATGAACCTCACTGGCCCATGAATGCCTTTGCCATCTGTAAGCCCCCTCCCCTGATTCACCAACCTGAGCCTTTCGGGTTCCCACTGTTATTCAATGAGAATGAGCTGGAGAAGTGTGGAAATGTCCAATTACCTTTTTTTACCTCTTTCAAGAATCAACCAATTAATGTATAGATGAATAGAACAACAAATTGATGTTTCTCTCTCTCAAATCAATCGATCAATCAATCAATCAAGAGGCAATTTAAAAAAGAAGAAAGTATTTGTAGCAACAACCACCAGCACAAACACAAAACAGGCTAACGCTGAGCTCTGAGTGTGCACCAGAGTTCCTCACAGGTCACCCTCCTCAGGACAACCCTGGGGGTGCCCTCATGCTACCCCCGTTTTATAGAAGATACCAAAGGGACCACCTGGAGGTCACACAGCAGGACGGTGGCAGAGAGCAGATTCCGGTACACGAGGCCCCACTTTTAACCTCACAGATGGCCATGGCCTGACCCTTCTCTTCCTCAGGAAGTAGTCACTGAGTTGGACCCCTGTCCTTGCCCCCTAGCTAAAGTGACAAACCTGAAATCCTCGAGTGGTTCTTAGCATCCCGGAACAAGGCTCACTCATGACATCTGCTGAGTATTCCAGGGGTTCGTGCCCCCACCCCAGCACGACCCAAGGCCCTTGCTTTAGAAGCTGAGCCAGAGTAGCCAGGGGCTCACCCCATCCCCATCCCTTGCAGGGCACCCCTGGGTGCCAGGCAGGAGGGCTTTGGGACCCGACCGCCCTGGGTTTAAATTCCACTTGGCTACATCCTGACCTGAACCTCGGTTTCCTCGCTTGCACAGCCAGCATGTCTGCGGTCGGCACCCAGGCAGTGCGGGGTGCGGAGATCTCTCCCTTTCTCCCCACCTCCCGACCTCCCGCGACTCTCTGCTCCGCTGGAGGTTAAAGATTTTCCTGACTTGCGAGAGGAGCCATCTCTCTGGGACTCAGTAACCAAAGGTGGCCTTCGAAGTTCCAGACTCCCGGTTCCCTCCAGCTTGCTTAGAGGTCCAGGGTCAACCTCAGGCCCTCCAAGGACCCCCAAATGGGGATGCCCGCCAAAGTGGGGTACCGGGCTTCCTCGGGGACCCGGGCCCTCCCTCCCACAGACCTGCCACCCCCAGAGCCCACGGCGGCTCCCATTTCACCGGTGATAAAAGGGACCCCCAGGCAAGTGGTGCCTGGCCCAGGGGACCTCAACGGGGCCCCGAGCGTCCGGGGAACCTTGGGCGCCTCCGCGACGTCCCCAGCCCGCAGCGCGAGAGGACCTCACCTGGGCCGCCCTCCCCGCGTCCCAGCCCCGAGGGCTCAGGCTGCACTCACCTCCGGGACCGCGCGGCGCCGGCGGCCAGGAGCGGGGCGCTTCCTGAATCCCCGGGCCGGCCCGGCGCCCGCCCGCCCGCCCGCCGCGTCTCTCCTCCCCCGGCTCAGGTTACCCGCCCGCACCCGCCCCCTGCCGCCCGGGGCCAGCGCAGCGCCCGAGGTGCAGGGCGGCGCTGCACCCCCGCCGGCCCTCGGGGCCTCCGCCTCTGCCGGGGCCACACCAGGAGCTCAGCTTCCTCGCCTAGAAAACGGGGATCATGACCCCTGGATAGAGGGGCAGGCGCTTCTTGGAGAGGGCTCTGGTTGGAATCCTGAGATTGCGGGCTCCTGTCTTGGTCACCTTGGCGCTATTGCCCGTCTGTGAATAGACCCATTAATCTGCTCGCTCGTTCATCCAGCAGACGATTCAGAGACAGGGCTGTGTGGGTCCCTCTGGGGCTCAATAAATGTGAGCTTTTTTCTTCACCTTTTTACAAGCGCGGAGCACCGAGCCGGGCACCAAGTAGGTGATCAATGTCTGTCTTTTTATTGGATGGTGATGCCCACCGCCTGCTCATCTGCTACCCTGGTCACTTGATTACCTCCATGAGATCAGGCAGCTCATTTCTGCCCTAAACCTCAGTCACCATGAAGATGCAGAGCCTAGGAACACGTTTAGCCCTTTTTATCGTTACTTTTTTTATTCCACTGAGTTAGGCCCCATTGGTAAGACAGTGGAATTTTATTTTTTATTTTTAAATATATTTTTATTACCCGGCCGGTGTGGCTCAGTGGATTGAGCATCGCCCCATGGACAGAGATTCCGGTTCAATTCCCAGTCAGGGCACATGCCCGGGTTGTGGGCTCATTCCCCATCAAGGGGGTGTGCAAGAAGCAGCCAATCAATGTTTTTCTTCTCACATTGATGTTTCCATCTCTCTCTCTCTCCCCCTTCCTCTCTCTCTCTAAAAAAAAAAAAAAAAAAATCAATAAAAACATATTTTTAAAAAATATATATTTTAAAATTGATGTTTAGAAAGAGAGGGAAGGAGAGAGAAAGAAACATCGATGTGAGAGCAGAACATCGACTGGCTGCCTCCTGCAGGCCCCCAACCAGGGATTAAGCCTGAAACCTGGGCATGTGCCCTGACGGAAAATCAAACCTGAAACCTTTCGGAGCCCAGGATTATGCCCAACCAACTGAGCCATACCAGCCAGGGCAACACAGTGTAGTTTTAGAACTGGAGAGAAAGAGATAACTGGAACAAAAGTGGTGCATTCAAACCACCAGTGTGAGACATTTACAAAAAATAAACCTTAATAATGAACCCACTGAGCATGGGTGGGTGGGGGGGGCAAAGTGGGGGGGTCAAGTAAAGCTTCCTCCCAACCAAGCTGCGAGGTAGGGATTGCTGTGTCCACTTTACAGATGGAAAACTGAGGCTTGGAGAGGATGTGGCCTCTCTAAAAGCTGCTCCCTCCACGAAGGGATGGGGAAGATCTTGAAGCTTTTCCCTCAGGGATTACAGGCCCATAAACACAGCAAACCAGCAGCCATCTGGCTGGTGAGGAATGTAAACAGAAGGTCCCTCCTGCCTCTGCCTTCCTGACCTCTGAAGAAAAGCCCATCTGCTGGTGGCCTTCCAGGCTGGGAAGCAGAGGAGTAAGGGGCAGAACTAGTCTGGGGCCCATTTCTGCAGAAAGGCCCTTCTCAAATGAAAAGAAAATGACAAGGATGACCCAGGCTAACAAGAAGTTAATGGAAGGGACCTGCGGAGATGGGGCTGGGGGTGGTGCTTACTCTTCCCCAAGGTCAGGGCGATGAGGTGGAGCCCTCAGCATCTCCATAGTTAACCCAACTCCTTCCTGACCCCCATGTCACAGACTGGGCAACTGAGGACCCCGCTGGAGGAAGTGACTCATCTTGGGCCAGGTGGCTGGATCTTGGCCTCTGTTCCAGATGCCTGGGTTCAAACTCTGCCCTGCCTCTCCCTCTCAGCACTTCAGTCTCCTCATCTGAAAAATGGGTATCAGTTTCCAAGAAGTAAGGACCATAACCGTTTTGTTTGCAGCTGCAGGACCAGCTCCTGGCACTTAGTAGGTGTTTAAAAAAAAAAAAAAAAAATACTGGTTGCCCTGGCAGGTTTGGCTCAGCGGTTAGAGTGTCAGCCCAAAGACCGGAGAGTCCCAGGTTCGGTTCCCGCTAAGGGCACGTACATTGGTTGCAGTTTGTCCCCAGCCCGTTGGGGTTGTGTGGATGGCAACCACTCAGTGTGTCTCACATCCATGTTTCTCTCTCTCTCTTACACCCTCTCTCCCTCCCATTCTATCTGAAGATAAGTGCAAAAGTGTCCTCCGGTGAGGATTAAAAAAACAAAAATACTGGTTAACTGAGCTGGAAGGAGAAGGAAATAGAAGGTATCATTTGATGGGTACAGAGTTTCAGTTTTGCAAAATGAAAGGAGTTATGGGAATGGATTGTGGTGGTGTTTACACAACATGAATGTACTTAATGCCTCTGAACTCTACACTTAAAAATGGTTTAAGATGGCAAATTTTGATATGTGTATTTTACCACAACAACAAAAAATGGGGGAAATGGTGGTTGATTAAAAGCACGGAAGAGGCCCTGACTCAGCGGTTAGAGTGTCGGCCAGAGGTCCAGAGAGACCTGGGTTCGGTTCCCGCTAAGGGCACGTAGCACATACCTCGGTTGCAGTTTGTTCCCGGCCCTGGTTGGGTCGTGAAGGTGGCAGCCACTTGATGTGTCCCTTTCACATCAATGTTTCTCTCTCTCTCTCCCTCCCACCTTATCTGAACAAAATATCAAAAAATGTCCTCCGGTGAGGATAAAAAAATTTTTTAAAAAAGCACAGAAGAGGTGAGTCGGAAGAGAAGGCGAGGTGCTCAGGCCACCCAGCAAACACTCACTGCTTTTCCTAAATGTGAACAAGGGCCACTGCTGGATGTGGCTGTGATTACTTTACTGTTTTGGTCACTGGTGAAACTCTCCAGCCTTTGTCCTAGAAGGGCAAGAGACTGTTGACGGAAAACGTTTCCTCTTAGGGAAGGAAAAAAATTCAACACGGGCTGGGAGTCATGTGGAGGCTGCAGGCGGCCCGGGCCTTGGGCCCACACAGGTCCCAGAGTGCCGCAGGGGGCTCAGCTATTGCCACTAAAGGGGTTCCTGGGCCACACCTAGAGCCCGCACTTAGCAAGCGCCTACTGTATGCCAGACATAATGCCAGGCACTGGGGAGAGACCGTGAGCCAGATGAATCAGCCTGTCAGGGGCTTTACACCTGGTGCACCTGCCCCCACTTCCCAGTCACCCAATTACTTAAACAAGACATAGGTACCCTACTTTGCACTGGGCACAGCTCCAACAATGCCACCAACCCATTTCATCTCCTGAAGCCAAGGATTCTTGTGCTATTTTCTAGAAAAGGACACAGAGAAGCCACTTGCCGGAGATCCCACAATGGGTAGGATTTGAACCCAAGCCCAGCAGACTATAATGTAACACCGTTGGTAAGAATATGGTCTCAAAAAGACAGACAATAGCAAGTGTTAGCAGGGATGTGGAGAAAGCAGAGCCCTCTCCCAGTGCTGGTGGGAACGTCAAGTGGGCAGCCTCTTGGGAAAACAATCTGGCAATTCCTCCAGATGTTAAATATAGTCACCAAATGACCCAGCAACTCCGCTCCCAGGGACCTAGCCAAGAGAGATGGAAACATATGACCACACAACAACTCGGACAGAAATATTCATAGCAGCATTATTCATAATAGCCAAAAAAAGAAACAACTCAAATGGTGAATGGATCCATAAATGTGGTCTATCCATACAATGGAGTAGTACTCAGCCATCAAAAGAACGAAGGACTGATTCTTGCTACAACATGCATGAGCTTTGCAAACAAATGTTGAGTGAAGGAAGCTAGACATCAAAGATCACATCTTGTGTGATCCCATTGATATGAAATGTCCTGGAAAAGCAAATCTATAGACACAGAAAGTAGATTAGTGGTTGCCATGAGCTGGGGATGGGAGGACTTAGGAGGGTGGTAGTTACAGGGTTGGGGTTTCCTTTCAGGGTGATGAACACTGACTGTGGTGATGGCTGCACGTATCTGTGAGAGTTTGAAAAATCATTAAGTGGTGCACTTTTGTTGTTGTTGATCCTCACCTGAGAATATTTTTCCATTGATTTTTTTTTTTTAAGAGAGAGTGGAAAGAGGAGAGAGAGAGAGAGAGAGAGGAAGAAAGAAACATCAGCCTTGGCCGGTTTGGCTCAGCGGTTAGAGTGTCGGCCTATGGTCCAGAGAGACCTGGGTTCGGTTCCCGCTAAGGGCACGTACCTCGGTTGCAGTTTGTCCCTGGTTGGTCATGCGGGTGGCAGCCACTCGATGTGTCCCTTTCACGTCGATGTTTCTCTCTCTCTCTCTCTCTCCCCCACTCTATCTGAACAAAAAATTGAAAAATGTTCTTGGGTAAGGATAAAAAAAAAGAAAGAAACATCAATGCAAGAGAGGCACATCAATTGGTTGCCTCCCTCATGACCCTGTTTGGGGCCTGGGATCGAACCTGCAACCCAGGTATGTGCCCGTGACTGGAATCGAACCCAAGACCCTTTGGGCCACAGGCCGATGCTCTAACCACGGAGCCAAACAGGTCAGGGCTGAATGGTATACTTTAAATGGGTGAATTGTATGGTATGTGAATTATATTTCAATAAAGCTATTACAAAAGATTTTTAAAATTCTTTTTTAAAACAAAATTGCCTGAATTTTTATTTCTGTAAATTCAAACAAATATAATGGAAATATTTAGAACATTTTTAAAAAGATTAAAAAAAACGTCTCTAGAATCAGAAGGATGTGGGTGTGGCTCCATCACATGTCTAAGCTGTGTGACCTTGGGCAGGTGACTGTGCTTCTCTGAACCTCACTTCTTGGTCTATAAAATGGGCTAGTAACTGGCCCCAATGGACAGCAGCCCCCCTGAAGTCACATCTACCGCATTTACCAAGAAGCCATGGAGACAGGATACAAAGAAGCTGGAGACAATCGGCTGGTTTGTCTACCTAAGTCCTGCAAATAGCTGACCTTGGCCGGGAGACTGGAGGCCCCACCCCCGCCAGGGACCTTCAATGAGGCTCTGCTGGAATTCTCCCTGGGGCAGAAACCCGAGGCCAGGTGGAGAGGAAGCCCTTCTCTTGATGACTGTTGCCATGGACACAACCACTCTCAGCTGCTCAGCCACTGGCCGTGATTCCAGGCTTCTGGGCAGCAGGCCTGGTGGCGGGCGGGTGTGGCTGGGCCACAGCTGGCCATGGGCATTTCAAAGATAGCCTCCATCTGAAGTTGTGGCTGCGAGAGGGAGGGGGCATCTAGGCCTTGGTGCCAGCCGGGTTCCAGTAATTCAGAGCTTCCTGGGTGGGCGACTGGGTGTCCACGGAAGCCCCTAGAATGATGAATGAAAATGTAAGAGGGTCAGGATGGAGGCAGCCCCCTTTGTGAGTCCAGGATCCTAGCCCACAGCTTTTCAAACTGTGAATTTGGCCCTGGCTGGTTTGGCTCAGTGGTTAGAGTGTCAGCCGGTGGACTAATGAGTCTTGGGTTCGATTCCGATCAAGGGCTTGTACCTCAGTTGCAGTTTATCTCAGGCGCTGGTCCGGGTCATGTGGGAGGCAACCAGTCAATGTGTCCCTCTCAAGTCGATGTTTCTCTCTCTCTTCCTCTCCCTCTCTTCCACTCTATCTAAAGATAAATAGTAAAATATCCTGGGGTAAGGATTTAAAAAAACAAAACAAAACTATGTATTGGCTTTGTCCCCCTCCAATGACTTCCTCTGCTCTTAGAACAAAAACCTAACTCACACTGGCCTCAGCATCTCTAGGTTTCATCCCTCCCCCCTTGATCTCCAGGCTCCATTCATTTTGGCCTCTGTCCCTAGAACATGCTGCTTTCTCTCCTGCCCCAGGGTCTTTGCACTAGCTGTAGCTCGCCGCTTTCCTTGCCTGCTCTTTCTCCTCCTTCAGGTCTCAGCTCAAATGTTACCTCCTCAGAGAGCCCCTCTGGCCTGCCCTCTCCCATCCAAATATCTTCCAGTGGATTGAGAGCCCCTTGGAAGATGGGGCCTCACCTGTCTTGGCCCTGCAGGAACACTGGGCTCAGCCTAGGGCCTCGCATATAGTGGGCACTCAGAAAACAGGAATGTGGGGCAGATTATGGGGGGGGGGGGTCAGGAGGAGGGTGTCAATGGGGGGAAAAGGAGAAACCTCTGTAACCAAAAAAAGTTTAAAAATAAAAAAGGAAATAGGGAGGTGACTCTCCTTCCAGACAATCTTCTCTAGGCTAGATCCAGAGGTTATCAGGGTTAATCATCTTCATAGCTGCCCTTCATCAAGCACTTTCTAGATGCCAGTCCCTGTACTAAGCGCTTTGCACATGTGGCCCCATTAGGTGTCTCAGAGACAGACCAATGTCCCTGCTTGTGAAAGGAGTGTGGATTTCAGTGGAATTTTTAATACAAACCAGGGGCTGGTTACAGTGATAAGCAGTGTCTATTGTAGAATGTCAGAGCTGGGAGGGAGCTTTAAACAGTCCAATCCCCTGATTTTATACATGAGAAAACTTAAGCCAGGAGGGGAGAAGGGACTCGCCCAGAGTCACACAGCAGATAAGGGCAGGGGGAGGAATAGCAGCCAGATTGCATGACTTTTCCTGGGGTGTTCCTGTTTATGCGTTGACATGGGCTCCACCGTATCTTTAGGAACAGGAATGAGCATGCTATGGTTGAACCACATTTGGACTGGGTTGCCCCTTCAGAAGCCCCTGGCAGGCCGTAGCATGATAATAAAAACAAATTAATACAAATAGTAATAAAAGCTATTTATTGAACATCTTCTATGAGTCAGGCATTTTCATACACATTATTTTATGTAATCCTGCAAAGTACAGGTGTTCCTGTCCCATTTTACAGGTGCGGAAACTGAGGCTCAGAGTGGTGAATTGACCTTCCCTGGATCACACAGCTACAAAGTTACAGAACCGGCACTTGAACGTAAAAATTGTTAGGTGGTGCCCAGCCGGTGTGGCTCACTGGTTGTGCATCAACCCATGCACCAAGAGGTCACCAGTTCCATTCCCGGTCAGGGCACATGCCCGGGTTCATCCCCAGTGGGGGGCATGCAGGAAGCAGCCAATCGATGAGTCTCTCTCATTGATGTTTCTAACTCTCTCCCTCTCCCTTCCTCTCTCTCTAAAAAATCAATTATAAATATATATATTTTTAAATTGTTAGGTGGTGGTGGTGATGGCGGCAGTGCTAGTGCTAGTGGTAGTAATAGTAATAGTAATTCATTAATAATAGTAGTCGTCGTAGTATAGTAATAGTAAAACGGCACACCTTTAATCTCCACACAGAGAATGCCAGAATTCCAGGCCACCCATTTGAGAGGCTTCAGATTTTTCCAACAGTGCTCAGATGGCACGCTCCTCCCTCATTATTCCTTGGAAAACCACTGCGAACCCCGTTAGAGTGGGTAACGCCCCCAGCACACACACATCTGGGCGCGGGCCAGCGGCTGGAGGTGCTGGGAGCCGGACCAGCGAGGCTGTCGCCGCGGCGCAGTGACGACAGCGCCACCTACCAGGCCCTTCAGGAGCTGCAGGTGGTGCGCGTGCGGGCGGGGGATCGGTGGCTCGGTGGCGGTCGCAGTCCGAAGAGGGGTGGAGGGAACCAGGAGAACTCATCAACCAACCCACAAACGCAAGGATATGTTCCTCTTCCATTCTTCTGTCCCACTAGCTTCTGAAAATGATGATTATTGGGTCAACAATGAGCTAATCACGCAGCCCAGCGCCTGCCCAGGCAGCTTCACTGACTCTCAATGAGCCAGGACCGATCAGGGTCCCCATTGCACAGAGGAGGAAACAGGGTCAGAGGTGAAGTGATTTGTCCAAGGCCACTCAGCTACTAAGTAGCAGAGCCTCCAATCCTCAATCACATCACCATACACCCCATATCACACACACATATCCGTGCAGTTTCATTTAACACTAAGATAATGTCCCGTGCTTCAGGCATTTCTAACTGCTTTACAAATAGTAACATTTAAGCCTAACAATGTGTGAGGTGGGTATTAGCAAGACGCCCATGTCATTAAAAAAACAAAAACAAAAAACACATCAAGCCGTTTTCACAGTGAAGTGAGCTTCAGTCCTTTGCCTATAACAGAGGTGATTATAACATTTTTGAACTATTGCTCAGCGAGGTTTAATGGAATGAATCAACAAGTTCATAAATGAGTCAACCCTTGTCAAGTTTAGGGCTCCTTCGGTTTCTGTGCACTATCAGATGAACCTGGGTCACGGTCCTGGCAGGAAGGTGTGCTGGAAGGCGGGCTGTCTGTCCTCTGGCACAGAAGTGAACAAGGAAGACATGGAGACAGATGGGAAACCCTGGTGCCCCTCAGTCCTGGCTGGGTCACCCTGGCCAAATCCTCTTGCCCCACCCCTGAGGGGTTTCAGTTCCCTTTCCTGATACATGGGGCTCCTGATGCCCACACCTCGAGGTGGTTGTGAAATGAAATGAGTTTGTGCAGGGCCTGGCATACAACCCGGGCTCAATGTGTGTTCTTCCTGCCTGCCCCAGGCAGGACTCAGTCCCACTTTGACAAGAGTAAAATAGGAAGGCAAAGATGTCTGCTGACTTTGTCTCTGGGGACCCAAAGTGCTCCCAGGGGCCTAGGAGGTACCAGGAGCGAAGGATGCTGTCCTGGGAAAAGTCCAGCCTTCCACAAAGAAATTGCCTTCCCAGGTCATTCATGTTGCAGACACAAAGTTCTTTTTTTTTTTTAATAATATGTTGTTAATGATTTTAGAGAGAGGAGAGGGAGAGAGAAAGAAGCATCGATGTGAGAGAGAAACACGGATCGGCTGCCTCCCACATGCAGTCCAACCAGGAATCTAGCCCACAATCTGGGCATGTGCCTTGACTGGAAATCTTCTGGTGTACTGGGCAGTGCGCAGCAAACTGAGCCACACTGGCCAGAATAAGAAACGTTCTTTTTTAAAGGAAAATGAAGAAATCTTTTAATTTGTTGACAGAATTTTATACTTCTAGGAAACCAACAGGGAAGAAAGCCTAAATAGCTGTTGGGACTTAGAAAGATCAGTATTCCTACTTAGAAAATATAGAAATCTTAGAAAATATCATTTACATCAGAGACAGTAAAACAGTTCAAATGTCCATCCCCTGGTCCTAACAGAGGAAGCCTTCAAAACTGGGTATTTGATTGGATTGTGCACAGGACCTTTGGGGATGATCCATAATTTTCAAGGTCAAGTTCAAATCCCTTGGTAGCATCTCACACACACACAGCCTGCTCTAGGTCAAGCCGCCAGGTCTTTGTCTTTGCCTTGAAGTGTCCCCTGCCCCTTCTCCTCTGCTGGGCCCCCAGCCCCCTTTCATCAAGGCCCTAAGATGCATCCCAGGATGTGGCCTCTCAGTGGCGTCCTCAGGGTCCCTTTGGGCACTGACTACTCTATACTGTCACTGTTGATTGTCTGGTCCGTCTTGCCCACTAGACTATTAGCTCTGTAGGAGCAGGAATGAAATAAAATGAATATGCTTTCTACATTTAACCCTAATATCAGAAAAGGCATCAGCCCATAATAAAGTGCAAGTAACAATGGATCACAGGGTTGGGGGTGCAACAGGAATTGGTAGGGACTGAGACAAAGTGGAAAATACATCCGTCCACTTATCCTGTCCAACCAGGGTGGCAGTCACCTCTCAGGTCCTGCCAGGCAGTCTGATCTTTCAAAAGAAGCTAGAAATAAAAACTTTCATGTGAAATTTCCCCAGTTCCTCAGTGTGGAAACCACTTCTATTTTCTAAACCACAAATGCTAGAAGATAGGTCCTTGGCTGGTCCCCAGTTCTAACCTCTAATCTCGGAAGAAAAAAACTCAAGAACTAAAACAGCACACAGATGTGATTCCAAAATAGAGATTTATTTATTAAGAATTATTTAGTTTCTGCATAAAAATCACCAATTGCTCCTCATTGGGTTTTTAACACACATCAATTCTTTGGGGGTTCCTCTATTCACCCCAATGCTTTCAAAGAAAAATACAGCTCTTGTTAGCGCCAGGAAGGACAGTTAAGGCAGCGAGGTGTTTCCTTGGGTCCCAGCATCTGGAGGGCTCACTGTCTCCCCGCTGAGAGAATACACATGGTTAGTAGTTTCTTAGGTTGCAAAGGCTGTCCCTGAAGAAGATTAATTATGCAGAAGAATGCAAATTCAGTCATCTCTGGTCAATTATTTGTACCTGATAGCTTTAAAATAAAGTCCCCTTGGTCATGGTCATCAAAGGCTTGCTGGTTGTTTTCAACGACTAAAAACTGTCTGGAAGAAGACAGTGAGAAAGAGCAGGGTCGATGGCGACAGTGCCGAGGCTGGGCTGTGTGACCACGGGGACCATTTGCTTTAACAAAAACACACAGCCCAGCCGGTGTGGCTCAGAGGTTGAGCGTCGACCCATGCACCAAGAGGTCACCGGTTCAGTTCCCCGTCAGGAACTGGTCCTTAGTTCCCCGGGTTGTGGGCCTGGCCCTTAGTGGGGGGCCTACAGGAGTAGGCCAATTGATGTTTCTATCTCTCTTTCCCTTCCTCTCTCTCTAAAATCAATAAAGAAAAAAAAATTTTTTTTTAACACAGAGCAGGGGTCCTGTATAATTGCAAATCAAACTCCTCGTGGTCCTGTGGTCCTTAAACTTACCCAAAACATCACTGCCACATCCTCATTTTTAAATTGAGGTGCATGACAGGGCTCCCCCAGAGTCACGTACCATGGGGGGTGGGGGGGACAAAAAACCTTAAGACTTGACTTATTAGCAACATTGATCCATTTTTACCACACTGAAATGAAGGTATAGTCAGTCTGTACCGTTGTGAAATTCAAAGGTGATTCAGAGTAGGGCCGTTATTTATTGCTCCGTTGGGGTAGACCCCCAAAAAGGACTTTTAAAAAACCAGGGCGGGCCCCTGCAGGCCGGCAGAGCCGCGGCGCTGGGGGCGCAGGCCAAGGGCGGCCTGCCGCGTGGTTCACAGTGATTCTGGCTCGTCCGTTCTGCCGAGGGCGGCGGGGCCGCGCCCGCCCGGCGCGCCTACACCTTGTAGTTGAGCTCGGCGTTCATCTTGGTGTACATCTCGTAGATGACGTCGATGGTGGCCGTGAAGTTGACCAGGAAGAGGCGGACCTTCTCAAGGCACTCCTCCTCGGTCACGTTCTGGCCCTTGGAGAGCGCTTTCAGGAAGTCGGACTTGTAGGGTGCGGCGTACAGCGCTGCCTTGAGACGGGCGAGAGGAGGGCCGTGTGAGGGCCGACCCACCGCCGGCACCATGGGGTTCTGGGAGGGGGCTTCCCCGAGGCCTGTGTGGGGCAGGGGTCTGTGCTACTGGTGACACTGACAGGCAACACCCCCATGAGGGACATCAGGAAGGGCTCCAGCCCCGGGGACAGGCAGACCTGGGCTCAAATTCCAGCTTGGGCCACCGACTAGCTGTGAGCCTTGAGCAAGTTACTTAGCCTCTCTGAGCCTCAGTTTCCTCATCTGTAAAATGGGGATGATCATGGCACCCGTCTAATTGGGTGAGTTTGATGGGGTGAGGGATTTACAAATAATAACAGTGTCATCATGAAAGGAAACGGTGGCAGTTTCGATACACTGAGTGCAAACCATGTGCCAAGCGCTTGAGACAGACTGTTTCCCTTTCACAGTGACCCTTTGAGGCAGGGCCTCCTGTACACCCATTTGAAAGATGAGGATACTGAGGCTCAGTGTCGTAGAATCCCAGCCCCCATCTTCTTCCTGTGTGACCTTGAGCAAGATAGTTAACTTCTCTAAGCGTCAGTTTCTTCATCTGTGCAATGGGGTAAGGACGGCTCCCACCTCGTGGTACGCTGGCAGAGATTACAAACCATGGGAAGCGTGCCCTGGGCCAGCCACACAGGACATGCTGCCATTACTGAGTGGTGGTTGTGAGGGCCTTGGGGAGAAGGGGGAGGCGCCCACTGGGATGGGCCCTGTCCCCAGCTTCGTCAGGGCAGATGGCCCAGGTGTCCTTATTTCCCACCCGGTGAATTCCTGCCCAGGGCCCGGGCCGTGTGGGAAAGAGACCGGCCCACGTGAAACCCTAGCTCCCATGTGAATGAGGTTGGGCAGGTGGCAGGAGATGCAGAGAAGGGGTGACCACGACAGGTCGGGTGGGATAAGAGGCCGTCAGGCTAGGTGGCCAGTGACAGCGTGTAGAGCACCCTGAGGGCCTCGAAACATCTCCCAAGTGGGCCTCTTGGCCAGGTGACTCTGGGGCCCTCAGGTGACAAGCCTGGTGCTGGAGTCTGTTTCCAGGAACAATGGCCACCATCACCCCAACACAAGCAACCAAGAGCCCCGTGGACCAGCTTCCTTTCAGCCGATGCCCCAAGGACACGGGTCCTTCCTGCCTGCCCAGGGTGAGGACCTAGGCTGAACCTGAGGGGCCGATCAGGCCCGCCCATCATCGCCTTGAGGTCCCCAGAGTCTCGGCCAGGGATTCTCCAATGGCCCCCCAGTCAGGCCTCCTAGGACAAGGCACCTCAACAGAACACCACAGAGAATCTAGCATGACACCCTCCATGGCCACAGGTGGGTGTAGAGGGCCCCTCAGCGCACCAGCCCCCCACCTAGACAGGGGAGCCAAACGCAGGCTCTGAGGGGCTGCAGCTAAGGAGTGGCAGAATGGGGAATGGACCCCACCATGGCGAGCCCCGGGCCGGGGCCGGATGGCTGCCGGCTCACCTGGAAGATCTTCTGCACGATCCAGCCGTGGTACTTCTTCAGGGCCATCTCGTAGGCCTTGGTGGCATTGACACGGATGTGGTTGGGGTGGTTCTCGTCCCGCTCCCCGTCGCAGATGCTCTGCAGGAAGACCTGGATGAAGCGGAGGCCTCTGCGGCCCAGAGAGAGACAGAAGCTCTTTAGGACACCGCCCGCTCCCGCCGGCGGGCCAGCCAGCGCCCCGCACCTGGCAGATCCTGACCACTCCGAATCACTGACTGTGAGCAGGGATTTGTATACACAAAAGGGCGTGGTTACTTATTCCCCAAGTGTTATCGTTACCCTTGGCTCCCATGCAGTGTGACCACTGGCTCAACACAGCATCTCCCGAGCACCTTGTCTACACTAGGCCTGGCGATGGCCCCTGAACACGGCCCCTCCTGGGATGCAAGGGCTGGGCCTGCCTTGTCCATTTCCTCTGCAGACATGCTGCGCCTCTCCTGCCCTCCCGCTGCTGCAGGCCTGGCCTACTCTCCCTGAAACTCTCCTGCTCAGCCTTGGAGACTCTGCTTGGCCAACCTCCTCCTCCAGGAAGCCCTCCGTGACCTCTCAGCTCCAGGCTCTGATAACCTGCTATCAGCCTGACACCCTGCCCAGACTATGACACCCTAAGAGGGTCTGTGCCTCATTTAATGTGGCCTCCTACTCACCCTGTACCCTGAACAGCACACAGCAGCCGCATGCTATGCGCTCAACTAGTTGGCATCCACCTGCAACTGACCTCCCAGCAGCCCGACTGCCCACAGCTGGTGTGGACACACCACTCTAACTGATCTAAACACCATCGCCTGCTTCTCTCCTCCTGAGACGCCCTCAGATCCTGCGATAAATGGACCCGAGGGCATTCTCATTCCAGGATCGTGACAGCAAGGTGATTAGCTTGGTGGAGCAATTCCTTCCTAAGACGTGATGTAAGGGTGTTAACTACAGGCCCCCCACCCCAGTGCCCACACTGCCACACCTTGGGAGCACTCTCCCTGTTCCTTTTCACTGAAGAAGTGCACGTTCGGGGGGTGGGTTAGCGGTGGGGTTGGGGGCAGAGGCAGGGAGGTGCAGCCGTGGGGCAGGGGATGGTCCCCGCTGCAGAGCGGCTGCCAGGGGCTATGGTGTTTGCACAGCCAAAGGAAAGTGTGGCTGGTGCGGAGCCGCGGGAGCTAAGCAAGAAAGCTGAACCTCGGTGGCCTCCTCTGTAAGATGGGAACAACTACATGTGGATTCAGGTATTTGCTATGAGGACAATATGTGTAGTGGCTGCAAGCATTGTCAACTCTTGGGTAAGACCTGGATTCAAATCCCTCATCAGGGTATCCTGTTCCCAGACCATAGGACGAATCTGTGCAAGTTAGGAATTCCTTCTCCTCAAGATTCTGTATCTCGGTCAAAAAGCTGTCATAATACACAAATCTACCACGTGCGGGACGTGACCAGCCCCAGGGAGGATATCTCTGCGGCGCACAGCCACTCGGTCCCGGGCCCTGGCACCTGGGCACAGGCTTTGGCCTCCAGAAGCCCGGTGGCCTCCTCTGTGAGATGGGATCACACCACACCTAACTCACAGCACTTGGAATGCGACCAGGACAGACAGCCACACACATCCTGCCGCCCAAGCTCATCACCTCTTCAGCCACATCAGCGCCAGCGTGGCCCCCACTTTGGGCCACTCTGCTCCGTGCATCTCCTTCTCTGCCTCCAGGATGTTCTGTAGGGTCCGGAACTTGGCCGGGTCGGTGTCATACACGGCTTTGATTTTCTGAAATGGAGCACACGGGGGTTTTCTCATTGGGAAGCCTGTCCCCACAGACAAGTGGCTGGCATGCCACCATGCCCCCCCGAACAGTGCCAAGAACGGCAACAGGGCTTGTCGTAACAGAAACTACAGGACTGTTCACATTTACCGAGCACCTCCCGTGCATGGGGACGTGCAAAGTGCTTCCGGGCGCTGTCTTTTTTGCTGCTCACAGCGACCCTGATGTTGCTCTGTCATTATCCCAATTTGCAGAGGAGGGAACTGAGACTCAAAGAGGGGCAGTGATGTGCCCGAGGTGACACAGCTGGTACCGGCCTGCCGCTGGCATTGGAGCAGGACCACGCACAGGCTGGCTCCGGAGGCCACGTTCTCCACCCACTACTGAGAGCACCTCAGACACCACGTGTCTGAAGTTTAGGGTTCAAAGACATCCAGAAACAAGGCTCCTGAGTGGAGCCAGGCAATCTGGGTCTGAATCCCACCTCTGCCACGCCCTTGCTGTGTGACCTCGGGTGAGTCCTTCAACCTCTCTGAGCCTCCTCATCTGTAAAATGGGGATGACAACAGAACCAGCCTCTGAGGCTGCTGGGATGAAGAAAGGAAGTGATGCGGTGTGGCCAAGCTCCAGGCCGGGCCTAAGAAGATCCTCACAAGGAAAGAGGATCAGCAGCTAGGGGACAGCGCCAGGAACTCCCAGGCCTGAGGAAGGGCAGGGCTGGGCCAATGCACCATAGACTTCAGAGTGTAGTTATTTGGTGGAGTGGATACAAGAATCAATGGGTTCCCCCTCAGGTCAACCCTCAGACTGGGATCCCATGCAGGCTATGACTAGATGGCATGACTGCTCCAGTCCCAATTCAGATGAGCCAGGGGCCGAGCCTGCTTCCCATCCCTCGGTCTGGGAAGTCTGTGGCAGGGAGAAGGTTCTCGTGACCAGGACAGGTTTAGATTCCCGAGGTGGTTCCAGGGTTGCAGCTGCCAAGCCAAGTACGTACCGTGATGTTGCCACTTATGTCCGCCTTGATGGGTGTAAACACTGGGGACCCAAGGCAGTCTGGGGAAAAAACACAGAGAGATTTAGATTCCCAACAAGGGCCATGAAGCACAGAGAGATTTAGATTCCCAACAAGGGCCATGAAGGTCTGTGGCCAGAAGGGGGTGTCACTTGATGTGGTTAGGGAAAGACAGAGCTGCTTATAGGTGTTAAAAATGTTCCTAGGCAAGAAATTTGGTGTCCTAGGCTCCAGGTGAGATCTGTTTTTTATTGCAGGACTTGTCAGAGCCTTTAAAATACAACTGGAATACTTGGGGGAGGGGCAAACCCTTTTGTCCACAGCACCCCTCCACACGAGAACAGCATTATCCCACGGGACTTTCTGCAATGATGGAAACATTCTGTCTGCAATGCAGGCCACATGTGGCCACTGAGCACTTGACATGTGGTGAGATGGAGAAACTGAATTTGTAACTTTATTTAATTCATTCATTTAAATTTAAATAGCCACATGTGGCCAGTCGCTACCATATTAGATAGCATAGCTGTGTAGCATCTTGCAGAACGAATGGTCTAAGAAACCCATCTTGGCCAACAAGGCGGAGGGAGACTGCTAATTAGCCAGCTGGCCAGGAGACAGACTGAGGACTCTTCCGAGGTGAGAGAAGAGGGACCAGATTTATTAAAGATGACCATCTCATTCACCCGCTTAGAAGGAAGAAATGAGCTGAGGACCCTGAGGACCCATGGTCCTGAGACTCTGCATACAAGTCCGGGAGAACACACCAGCAATGGCATCAGTCACCTAACAGAGCATGAACTTGGCTTTGACACTCCACTCTGCATGCCCTGGTCACGTGGATGTGGGTGTGGATCCCTTCACTCTGAGCCTCAACTTTCCCATCTAGCAAACGGGGCAACAGAACCGACCACAGAGGTGCTACAAGGATGACTTCAAATAATCCACTTCCGAGACATACATTTTGTTCATCTTCGGAATCAGAATATTCTTAATTAGAGGCATTTTCCATTTCTTGGCAGCTCATAAAACAACAGGGCATCTTAAAATAGGTGACATGGTTGAGTTAATGAGATGTAGGCCTGGAAACTGGCTGGGCCTGGAACTCCGGACTCCGCGTGAAATGTGAGCAGCCGTGGCCTGCCTCTGCTCCTGTCCTTCCTTCGTGACCCATTTGGCAGGCTGTCACGGGGACCAGAGACATCCCAGGGTCAGAGCTCCTTGCTAAGGGCTTGGCACAGAGGAACTGTACTGGGAATGGCTGGTTCTCTCCTGGGCAGGCTCAGTGTGGACTTCGCCCTCAGAGCCTGAACACAGACAACACCTGTTCCCTGCTGAGTCCAGAGCCCAGGGGACAAAGATGCCTGAGCAGGCCACAGTGGGTACCAAACCCACAGGAGGAAAATGCTAGTGTCCACTTCCCCTTGCCCGCAGGCCTGGCAGGGGCCTTGGTGTGCACGCCTATTAAAAGAGGTATATTGGAGAAATGGTATTAGACACTATAAATGAAATACCCCATAAACAAATGGATTAGGGATCCAGACACACTAAGCTTGACTCCTGGCCCGACCACTCCCCAGCTGAGCAAGTCTCCTTGCCTGCGTGCCTCAGTTTCCTCACATGGCAAATGCAGCAGCAATAGTACTTACTGCACAGGCTTGTCGTTGGGATTGAAAATCATACATTGAATGTGTTCAACGAGTGCCCAGGGCGTGCACACTCAATGAAGGGACTTTGATCACTTTCGTGACTTCATATTATAACTAGAGTCAGTTTCCATGGTCCAGCAAATGTCACACAGGCATCAGCAAGCTGTGTGTGGAAGCTTCCAGGTCCCCCAGAGTTTCCATTGAGTGGGAATACACCTGCCCCCTGACACCTCTAACTCTCCTCCTGGTTGAGGCCCCTCGTCGGGACCAGGGCTCCCAGTACAGAACCCTCGGGCTGAGCAGTCAGCCCTCTCCCCTCGGGGACTGGGTCTCTCTCAGGCCTGTGGGATCAAATTTCCCTCCACAAGGCCACACTGGAGCCTCCCCTAGGATGGCCGCGAGGAGCTGCCCCGAGATGCGGGGCCGGGCTACAGTTGGCCTGAGCCACCTCATCCTGGGCGCTCTGGCCTCCTCGATGGGCCCGCCAAGCGCAGTCATAAGGCAGCTACTCCCCCCCAGGACCTTGCCTGATGTGCCACTGACTCATCCTGCAGAGGCCAACCCCGGGAGGTCGCGCACTCTGCTGGCCCTGGAATGTGCTCTCTCCTGGACACTTACTGCTGGCTCCCCCAAAGAAATGCATTCTAGACTTCAATAATCATGTAAGGGAGCCAAGGTGTCCTCCCCCAGTGACTCTCCCCCTCTTGACCGTGCAGCCCAGGGTCACCCATCCCAACCCTCCCGGGGGCCAGGCAGGTGTCATGACAGGCTACCTGGGGACTGGAAAAACCCTTCCAAAGGGATGGCCCCAGCCAATGACTTTACACCTCACCTTTCTTTTTCTTTTTAGTTTTTGGTTATTCCCCACCTGAGAATATTTTCCCATTGATTTTTAGACAGAGTGAAGGGAGAAAGAGAGAGAGAAAGAAACATCGATGTGAGAGAGACACATTGACTGGTTGCCTCCTGCACGACCCAGACCGAGACCAGGGATGGAACCTAAAACCCAGACACGTGCCCTTCACCTGGAATTGAACCTGCCACTCTTCGGTCCACAGGCCAATGCTCTAATTGCTGAGCCAAACTGGCCAGGGCTACATCCTCACCTTTCAAAAATGTCCAATGGCTTTGGCCAGTTTTCTCAGTGGTTAGAGCCTCAGCCTGCGGACCAAAGGGTCTCAGGTTTGATTCCTGGTCAAGGGCATGTACCTGGGTTGCAGATTCGATCCCCAGCGCCGGTCAGGGCTGTGTGGGAGACAACCAGCTGATGTGTCTCTCTCACCTCCATGTTTCTCCTCTCTCCTCCTGCCACCCCACCCCACCACTCTGTGTAAAAATCAATGAAAAAATATTCTCAGGTGAGGATTAACAGAAAAATGTACAGTGTCCTTAGGTATAAGGTGGATGGATGGGTGGCTATAGGAATGTTCAGGTACAATAAGATATTAATGGTAGAATTTAGGTGGCAGGCGTATGAATATTCATTGTACAATTCTTTCAACTTTGTTGCATGTTGAAAATTTTCATATGAAATGTCAGAAAAAAATATAAGGATTTTTTTTCTGCTCATGAAAGTCCTACTTCTTTCTTCTACTTTTCCTCCCCGTCCACTTCGGTTTTACAGCGACCGTAGTTACAGGTGTAGCTCTTTGTCTTTCCTCCAAGTGGCCCATGGACTTCAGCTGTGAGAGACCAGGGACCAGTCCCCCCAGTCCCCCGCTGTGTTCCCAGCTGCTGACACAGAGCTGGACCCCAGGGGGTGCTTACAGATCTGCGGCACGAATGAGTGAGGAGATTGTGAAAAACGTGAACCGAGAGGCGTCTCTCCGGCCAGGCAGTTTGTCTCCCTCTCACCGTTCAGACGGACCCACACAGTCAAGATGGCAGAGGCTATGGGAAGGGGCCTGGGCCTCGGTTTCCCTGTCTGAAAATGAAACACTAGAAGACCAGACTCCCCAGGAGCTGCTGTGAGGGGGGGCCATCCTATGTGCAGCGTGAGGGCGCAGAGCTCTGGCCTTGATCCTTACTGCTACGGGCTGGTTTGCTTTCTTTTTTTGTTAATCTTCACCCAAGGATGTTTTTCCCATTGATTTTTAGAGAGAGTGGAAGGGAGGGAGGGAAGGAGGGAGAAGCATCGATGTGAGAGACATATAGATGGGTTGCCTCCCACATACATGGGCTGTACGTCGAATCTGCAACCCAAGTATGTGCCCTTGACCAAGAATTGAGAACCTACACCCAAGATTACTCTATCCTGCAAAGCTGTCATTTAGAATTGATGGCCATATAAAGAGTTTCCCAGACAAGAAAAAGTTAAAGGAGTTCATCACCACCAAACCGTTATTATATGAAATGATGAAGGGTCTTTTTGAAGAAAAAGATTAAATATATGAACAAACAAAATGGCAATAAATACATATCTATCGACAATTGAATCTACAAACAAAATGAACAGGCAGAACAGAAGCATTCTCATAGACACAGAGAACATTTTGTTGGTTGCCGGATGGGAGGGGGGTTGGGAAATGGGGGAAAAAGGTGAAGAGATTAAGAAGAACAAATTCATTGCTAGACTGACAAACCTCAAAGGGAAAGGGGTTGGGGGTTGGGAAGAAATAAAGCAAAGAACTTATATGCATAACCAATGAACACAGACAACAGTGTGGGAAAAGGTGGGAGGGGGGCGAGAGTGGGGAGGAGGGGAGTCAATGGGGGGAAAATGAGGAACATCTGTAATAAATTCAACAATAAAGATTAAAAAAAAAAAGAATTAAACCCACGACCCTTTGATGCGCAGGCTGATGCTCTAACCACTGGGCAACACTGGCTAGGGCTGAGCTGATTTTCAAGTAAAGCCCTCCAACAGAGAAGACATGGAACCAGGGCTTGGGAACAGCTCACCATTCACCACGCACGGCTGGTTTCTTAGCTTTCCCCCAAAATTCAGGTCACTCAACATGCATTTTTGAGATGCAGAAAAATGTTACTTGGCTTTCTTGGTTCTGAAAACAGCTCTCTGCAGTTCTGAGTGGCCCTGCACCGGTGGCAGGGAGAAAGGCCTTTTGTTTTCCTGACTGTGCTGCTTGGGTCACGAGGCCACCGTGGTCAGCAGGAGCTGGCCTGACAGCAGCTGTTATTATGTGTGTGGCCACCATAGAGGGACAGAGCTTCTGCTCAACTGTGGGGAGGGATTGTGGGAACTTTGGAACTGGGAGTGGAGCAGAAGCAGGGAGGGGTGGCGGGGGGGGGGGCAGAATTCACCTCTACGCTGGACCCAGACGCCGGCAGGAAAGGCACCTGTCCGTACACATAAACGTGCACGCTGAGGTCAGTCCGGGAGCAGCTATGCACGCCACTTGCGATCAGGGAGAAGCAGCGCAGTGCTCTATAGT